GATGAGCATGAAACAAACACTGAACCCGACAATCCGGCGTTGATAAGATCTGAACGTTTAAGGTTCCAACCTATTAGAGACTATAAATACCCGCACGCTCATTCAATGTGTGGTGGATGTAGTGAACATTGGCTCTATTCTATTCATTCCGTTTAGTGTATTTTTACATGCCTTTGTTTTACGATGCGATTAATAGTACGCCCGCAACATACGAGAATATACAATATTCATTCGTCCATATTCGGACTTCTATACTACGTGTACATTCGGTAGTTAAGGTACCTACCACTATTCTAATTATCACATCATCCCAAATTTATCTGAACTGCCTCGCAGGTGTAACGTGGATAACTATCTTGGAAGTGTTATTGCACCCTCTAGTTACACGAAATGAGATCAGCAGTCCGATAGCGCGCATTCTTGGTAGACTCAAAAAGGTATAATCATTTGACCAAAATTCCAACGCCACCGACTGTTGTGGACGAGAGATTTCACTAGTAAGCCTTGGCCAATGATACTTTAAAGGCTAGACTTACTAAGTGTCTTTAAAATCTGAAACAACTTTTATGCACTTTCCAGCACTTATTCAACTCCATTGGGTACCTGAATCATTTTTCAATGTTTCAATCGTCTTATCCGATAAATTAGATGAACTGGTTCGTAGAAGTTCGCGGGGACATTTTTGCCTGCAAAGTTGACGTTGTGATGTGTATTACATGTTGTGTTTTAGCGTGTTGAGGCAAATACGCATCTCCGTCGATAACGCTAAATCAGAGAGGTGCGGAATTGATTGAGAGGTAACGCAGGTTTCACAAGGGAACATGTTTAAAAGCTTGATGTGTGCAGTTGTGGGATTTATATCATTCACTTTTGCGTCACTCCCTGTTGGACAACCCTCCTCCCATCCTGCAGTTGTTATCACGATAAGTCCCCATTAAGAAAAGTGGTAGCAGTCTGAAATTTTTCCCCCACTGGAGATCGCCTGCATCGCGTATCCTACGGCCGTCCCGGACAGCCGACACGCGAGGTGAGCGTATTACCACTAATCCAACACGGCGTGCTGGACACATTTTAATTTTCACGTCCGAACGGCGAACATGTTTACGCTTGCATTATCTGACTGGTACGCCTGTTTCCTCAATTCACGGGCCGGTGAAATAACATTGTTTTAATGATTGACTGACCCACCCCTTTGGGCATTCAAGTCAAGTAGTGCCAGAGACGCCTTGATCTTGCTGTGAGGTGTTGTGGAGTTTTATCTTTCACATTCACATTAGTTGTTTTCCAGTTTATACCTGAAGATTTATATGCTTCCAGCGTGCGATGGGGGAGTAGTGGAGCCACACTTATCCCGCATTTCGGATTACTTGGGTTCGAATGTTGGTATGGCTAAGGATATGCACTGCTGTTGGGCTCTAATGAGTGTAAAAGGGATGCTCAGTGCCTCCTACTTTATTTAATACCTACCTGGTAGGAGACATTC